TTGAATAATGTCCTAAGTACTAATACTTGGTAATAAAATATACCTTAAAATATCCCGTCCTGGTCTCTGTCATCTTTTGACAACAACTAAACCCAAAATCTAACAGAGCACCTTAACCAAAACCATATTTAATAATTAACAATAAAGTATTTTTTATAATTTGTTTTATTTTGGGGGCAATGAATAAGTACGCTCAGACAGTGGTGAGACCAGCTATGTTGTATGCTCTAAAGCATATGTGTCAAACTCGAGGCCTGGGGGCCAAATGTGGCCCTCGCTGACATCTTATCTGGCCTCCAAGATGTTATTTTAAAGATAAAATACTTTTATCACTTAATTTTTTTCAGTAATCTTTGATTATGATGTCAAAAGTGCAACAGAGAAAGTCAAATGAGACCAACCAAACTCTTCTTGAGGAACCTGCAACCAAGAAAAGATGTGGGGTATCTGACTTGAGTTAATGTTGATTCTGAAACCGGCTTTTAGTTTGAAAACGGTTTTAATTTTGGCCCCCTTTTGTAAGTGGGTTTGACACCCCTGGTCTAGAGACGGAGACATGGACACAAAGACTGGAGAAAGAACTGGAAGTAGCAGAAATGAAGATGTTGAGGTTCTCCTTAGGGGTGACAAGAATGGATAAGATTAGGAATGAGATCATCAGAGGTACAGCACAGGTCCAACAACTGGGAGATAAAGTTATGGAGAACAGACTGGAGATGGTTTGGACATGTCCAGAGGAGGGACAGTAGTTTGGACATGTCCAGAGGAGGGACAGTAGTTTGGACATGTCCAGAGGAGGGACAGTGGGTATATTGGGATGTTATAAATGCAGCTGCCAGGAAAAAGACAAAGAGGAGATATATGGATGCAGTTAGAGAGGACATGGAGGTAGTTGGAGTGAGGACAGAGTGAGATGGAGGAGGATGACTCACTGTGGTGACCCCTGAAGATGGAAAAGTCAAAAGAAGAAGAAGAAGAAGAAGTACGCTGCCTGCTACTTTCATTGGGATTTGAAGAGAAGTCCAGACCTTCTCCTTTATGTTGACACTCTCCAAGTCCTCCTGAGGGATCCAGACTTCAGAGGATTTACAATCCCTCCATTGAGTTCTGGGTGTTTCTCATTGTTCCTCTTTCAATGGGAGACCACAGTGACCACCTCAGCTGACTCCTTTCAGTGATATGGAGCAGTGACCCTTCTCTGAGCTCCTCCTGGATTATGGAGTTCCTCACCTTATCTCCAAGTCTGAGCTCAACCCTGGGACAGACGATCCTCATTTTAACCACTTGTATCAAGGATCTCCTTCTTCTGGTCCAGATCCAAATCTCATGGCCGTCTTGAGAATTGGAACATGTAGCAGGAAACTGAGAGCATGGTCTTTTGGCTCAACTACACATCTGAACCAGTCCATCCTACCATCACTCATAGACAACTCTGATGATTTTTTCATAATTAAACAATGATAAAAACCAAAATGGGCCCCAGGAAAGCTAGAGGGGAACCAAAGGCTGTTTTTTTTTTTTTTTCAGAAAAGTTGAGCTCATCTCCTTTTTCAGGTCACTATTCAGTAACTCATTCTGGCCAACCGCCTAAAATCAAATGCTTTAGGTGCCCACATTTTCCCTCGCAGTCTCTGCTCTGCTCTCCCATCGAGCCACCGGTTTCACTCTTGGTTAAGTTTGGATGAAACCAGTGGGTTTGCTTCAAAATAGGTCTTCTCACAGCGTGGGTTTACCACATGTTTGAAATATCCACTTTGTAGCACACTGAAGTAATGTCTCACACACCATCTGCACAAGAATGGAAAAGAACTCATGCTGTAATCCATCGCTTTGATCGGCGTGATGGATGTCATGAAAAACGTGCACAGTTCATTTCCACACGAGCGGCAGTTTGTGGCAGTGAAACAGTCGGGGTAATTATCTTCAGCGTGTTGGTGTGAATCACAGTTTTTACTGTTTACGACTGTGTGAAGAGAAAATTATTCACAATTCAGTGCTTTACATTTGTTTCTGTAATGTGTATCTAAAACTAGGTGTTACTTTTATTTTTTATATACATGTTTTTTTTAATCATGAACAGAGTATTCATCTTTATCAAGACGAAATCCAAAAGTAGGTGAAGGATGCATTCGAAGGTTTTATTTAGCCTTTTTGCTGAGATAATTAAATGACCTAGCATTGTTTGAAGGCGTACATGTCGACCTTTCGTGCCAGAAATTTAAACTAAAAGTATTTTTTTGTTGCGAAAATGAAAGATTTTGTAGTCGTTTACATAGAAATGAAGACGGAGCCTTTGTGAAACCTTTAAAATAACATTACACACATATGTGATATCTTGTGTGATCTGTTGTGTGTTTTGAGCGACTGTCGGCTACTAAAACCCCAATTTTTTGCTCAAGAAGTGCAAAAGTCATGTGTGTGTAGTCATTTTTGTTGGATAAAGTTCATTGTCATTAGTAGGCATTTTAAATGTGGTCGACTCCAAAAGCTTTACAGTCATGAGATAAAACCAGTGACTACACTCAACAAGTTTTGTTCAATATCATTGAGTGGTTTACAAGATATTTTGCTAACAGATAAAGCGGGGTTGTCTGTTTGCTCCCAGGCTATCACTTGGGGATCAGTCTGAGCTACTACCAAACTAAACTTTAGTTTAATATCTTCAAAATTGATGAAGTTAGAGCCACTGTTTAGTTTGCTATGATTGAGTTGCTGTGGTGGCCATCTTGGATCAGAACAACTCCAAAAGTTTATTTGTTGTAGATGTTAACCCACTGACTACTTTATGAAAGTTTTAGCTAAATCCCAGTTAGTCATGAAATATTTTTCTAACAGACAATCAAATGAACACAATAACACTTTGTTGCAGTGGGCTAAAAATAATATTTTGCTGGTTTGGACAAAAAGGAATTGCTTGTCAGAAAGTTCCCATGATTAAGTAAATGTATTTTGCATGTTTTGACAGTTATTAAGTAAAAAAATATCCAAAACTAAATAAAAATATAAGAGCTCAAATTTAAAGGATTTTTTTTTTTTTTGAGAGGAACAACAATTTTACATTCAAATACTTGAATGTTTTTTATGTTTAAATATTTATTGTATCACTCAGTTCATACCATGTGACCAGTTTGGACTCTCTTAAACTGATATGGGAAACAGACTTGGAGGAATCCATATCATACTCAACCTGTTGAAAGATCATTTAGAACATTTACTCGTTCTCAATCTGTCTGAGACATTCTATAATTCAATTCAATGTGGTGAACCGGCTGCACTGGTCCAAAGACAAGCTGTCCAAGATCAAAACCAACCTGGATCCTGCATGTAACTGTTGTAAACAAACTCCAGCTACAGTCTCTCACACATTCTGGACTTGTCCAAAGCTGTGGAGCTACTGGCAATTTATTTATTATTTTAAACTTTCTCTGGGATATGTGGAAAAACTTTGTACCCCTCACCATTCATGTCATTGTTTGGGGTGGCCCCTGTGGATGAATCCTTCAGCAAGTATGAGAGGAATATGATGCTTTTGGCTCTCTTCTAGCCAGGAGACTTATTTTATCCAGTGTTATGAACACTGGATAAGATAAGTTATCTGGAAAACATTAGATGTACTTTGAAAGGTTCTGTTGAGAGATTTTGGGGCACTTGGCAACCATTTATGTCTTATGTTAAAAGTATGCCACTGCCTGTGTAATGTGTGTGTGTCTGATCTGGTGTGAGAGGGGATTTTGTTGTATGTTTCTTTTCTCTCTTTCTCTTTGTGTGTGTATTCTGGAAAATTCAATAAAAATACTTTGAATAAAAAATATACACCTTATATATTTATTGTATTGCCAACAGTATAATATGCAGCATGGATTCATGTTTTAGCTGCAACAAAGATAATCATTTTTAAAAGTAATTCACGCCATTTAGAATTGACACAATTGAAATAGGTGAGAGAAATGAAAATATCCCTCCGTACATTTGTTTTTGACGTTCCTGCGTTACCTTCATTTCCAGCTCCAGAAGTTGCTGCTTACAGCAACAGTTTTTTCATTTCATTGACTTTCCTCTCCGCCTGTCTCTGCCGCACACATTTCCTCTGCTCACCTTCTTACTACACCTTATTCCATTAAAGTGTAGACGAGCTTTCCTCCTTATCAACAGCCGCAAATTACTTCTTTTTTTTCCAGGACATTTTAACAATCCCAACAGGTTTTTCAGCCCATTCCCAGGCAATCAGAGCAGCATGGGAGGTCTCTAACCAAGCAGCGCCGCCGGCAGCTTCATATCAATGCAGCCCGGTCAATTCGACTGGGAAAATGTCACTTTGATACCTCCCACTGGTCACTGTCAGGGTGGGGAGTCTAACCCGACTAATGAAGTAAAAAGGGGAAAGCTGTGAGGAAAATGGTCAAAATCTATCTGCTCAATAACCCCTTTTAATGTTGCTCATTTATTTTTGTGTGTCTTTTAATCCCCACCTTCTGTTTTCGTGCCGTTAGGTCCATCAAAAAGTTTATATTCGTTCTATTATTGTTTTTCTCATCTCTTCGAAAAGACTGAGAGCAGAAGGCGCGCTCGCTGCTTGATGGCAGCGCAACACCGGCACTCATTAGACGTTTAACAAGTCCAACAACCTCGTGCGTGCTGCTCCTGTCATTACATCATGTAGCAATGTAACGGCAGCGAGCACACATAAAAGAGGAAGTCACGACGAGATCCTTTGATCATCTCGCCTCTTACGAGATGAGATAACGTGCCGTCATCTCGCCGGTGCGCCGTTACTGTATCCATTCAGCTAATTCATCATAAAGTCAGCGGCTGACCTTTAGCTCAAACACACAGTGGGATGCAAGGCGAGCTGCGGGCCGTACATCAGCCGGTGATGGTGTCGTTTCACAGTGACTTTATCTTCATGGCTTTTATTTCCATTTGTTGCCCCCCATTCCTCCTCCTCTCTCCCTGCCTCCCCTCGCGCCTCGTGTCTGACGTGTATTTGTCCTCTCATTCAGATGCTCCCACCACCACCCCTATACCCACCTCAGCTATCATCACCACCACCTCTATCACCACCACCTCCACCTCGAACCCCAAAGCCAATCAAGGTACAGTATCACCCTCACACAGCCTGTTAGTCTGCATGTGTGTGTTTCCCTACACATAGTATGGGTTACCTCTTCATCTGCTTTACCTTCATTCCACAGTAGCAGCTGTAACTGCACGCACCTCTCTCCATGTAGCTCATTTTTCTAAAAGCTTTAAGAAAGCTGTATTATTCCAAATGATTTCAGTAAAGGCAGGAAGTGAATCCATGTCGAGACTGCTGCGGCGCAAATACTGATGCCACAGGTCAAAATGGGTTTTAGCTCTAAAATTGATAGTTCGGATCTTTTGAAGTGTGGTTTTATGGGAAGATTATGAAAATTTTAGGGATGCACAAGATATTATGTTTTTGTTTTGTTTTTTTCAAACCGAGTACTTGCTAATATCAAGTACCGACTTTGAAAATGTGTGAGAAAATGACAGAAGCTTATGTTTTGTGTAAAACTCAAATGGGATGGGAGACTGCGATGAAATTATGATTCCACGCAATCTGCTGCTTCCTTAGATAGATAACTTTTACTAATTGTTTTTTTAATGTATGTGAATATTTCTGTTCAGTGCCCTGAGATGACTACTGTTGTGACTTGGCGCTATATAAATTAACAAACTGAATTAATTTAATTGAAATGGAGCCAGGACAGCAGTAGTTTTCCAGAAGTGTCCATTGGGGAGCAGTGAGATTGCTCACATGTACATTCCCAGGATCCTCTTCTGCGCAGTGAGAGACTGCTGCCGTTTCCCACTGCTGAGCTTGTTCGTGTTGATATGATGTGGTATGAGATAATACGGTGTAGAGTCCCTGCTCTTGACAACTTTACTGAGCATAACTTGCCATTTGCTTTAGTTTTGTCTTAATCCTTCATTTTGAAATACCTTCACCTTATTTTTCTTTCTTCTGGTAGTGTTTAGCAGTTGGCAACCATTATGGTGCATTACCACCACAAACTGGATCTGGGCAGCCAACTCAAAATAAATAAAACTTCCTACCTCTATGGCTCCTTCCTTACCATCTGATCGAGAACCTCACGTTGCCATAAAATAAAATAAAAATCCAAATGCAAAACAAGTGGTTGTAAAGTCAACAGGGTAAAGGTAAATGGACTGTACTTATATAATGCCTTTCTATCTTAACAAGATACTCAAAGCTCTTTACAACACAATCTGTGCCCTCATGTACCCATTCATACACTCTACTAGATCTATACAAATACTAATCAGTGCTTTATCACATTCATACACTGATGGGACACACATCTGAATCAATGAGGGTTCAGTGTCTTGCCCGGGGACACTTCAACATGTGACTGCTGGTGGAATAGAACCGCCAACTCTCCCATTGGAGGACGACTGCTCTAACCACTCAGCCACAGCTGCAGGATGTTCGCACATCATTAAGAAGTTTTAAACTCATGTATCTAAAATTATGGCTTTAAAATGTCTTAAATTTATTTAAAAACATGTAAGTTGGTCTTAAATACATTACTCAAAGGTCTAAAAATGTGTCGGAGCAGGATTATTTATTCTTATGTGGGATTTTGGTTTTCTCACAGGACTTTTCTGTTAGACAAAGATTTTACATTGAGTCGCATGTTCCTTACTTGAGGCTACTTTCTGTTAGCTTGCTAGCTATTCTGCAACTAAATTATGGATAAGTGCAAATTCATCGACAGTTGACTGGATGACGTCCATTTTTGCAACTGGCTCACTTCTGTTGTCAACCCAGACGAGGCCAGATTCATTCTGTGCAAGAAATAAAATAAAATAAAAATGTTCAAGCGTGGCATTGATTACCTTTGTGTATGAAGGCAAAACTGGAGATTAAGACACAATTGAGCCTCATGCCGTGAATGTTTTCAGTAGATGCATTTCACCATTAAAGTTCATTTATTAATGAAAAGTTCAACTGAGACGCACCTTTACTATAATGTCAAGCAAACAAATAATTGCTTTTAGTTGGTTATCTTGTTAAATTCTTGTTAAAGTCCTCCTGTGCACGCTCCCGTGGCCAACATTTGGCAGCCCATCGATTTTTGGCACAACAAACGTGTAACAAATGCGACGCATCAGCGGTGACGCATAATAGATGCGACGTATACGGCGAAGCGATGTATTTATGTTTTTGCCACTTTATTAGACATATTTGGACTGATGAGACTTATACGGCAGTGCAACGTGTACGACGGCAAACACGGTAGACTTAAGACCAACACACACTCAAGGTAGCTGCAAGCTACAAGGTCAACCTAATTGCAGCACTTATTCCCCAAATTATTAATAAAGATTTGCAATTGATTTGCAATCAGAGTCTGACACAGTGACTGCTTTTGCAACAATACAAGCATTAGAGAAAAGATAAAAGATGCAAGAAGTGCCGAAATTCTCCGTTCTAAGATGCACGTCAGTATTTGCTTCAACGCGATGTTAACGTGAGTCCAGTGGAAAAATACAATCTCAGCAGGAAGAAAGTGGAAAAAATGGACCAAGTGTTTCGAACGCAGACTGCTGACACATTTTGGATTTCATAACCATATGGGAAAATACAAAGTGTATAAATAAAAAGCATGAAGTTTGTAAAGTCCACTTCTAAACTAGAATACTTTGTTTCTACCCACCAAATGTTAGGATCCACATTTGTTGTTACATGCTTTTAACATCCAAAACTTCAACAAACGCGTAGTAAGTAGCCAAGGATTAACGAGGCTCTGTAACGCTGTCCGTCGACTCGGGGAGGCAAAAGTCAACAAAAATAGTGGCAACTTTCATCACTAACTGTAAATTTATTCTGTTTAAGAAAAAAAAAATCAGGACTTTGGAGTTGGTGTGTCAGAAATGTCGATATAAAGAACACGAAGGAGCTTTAAACTACGGTATGTAAAGTCACAAACATACTTTATTTTTTTATTTTACTATTTGAAAGTAGCTAAACAATGTCACTTTTATAGATGTTTGAATTTGAATAAAGAAACATGAATATATGTGTAAAACAAGAATAAACCGTTAGACTTTATAGAATCACAGTATATCATTCTGTATAGAAATTAATTTCATCATGCCTCCTTTATACAGATCCATGCTGTCATTTTAAAAAGTGTGCATGTGCTGTTATTTCCTGTATAGTTTTATTTTTCATATCCTTTGCAAGGTTGCTCCCAGTGGTCTCATTATGGCTCATAAACACAAATAAAAGTGTAACATTAAAGAAAATTGGATATCATTAAAACACAACAGATCAAAATAGACTTTGGTGAAGTTTAGACCTCGCGTACCGCAGTCATAAATTATGTGTAATTACGGTGCTCCGAGGCACAGAGTGATGTGTGGGTGTAGGGGTTGCTTTGAAAGGACAAACAGTCGAGCAAAGTTTCTGTTGTTGTGCTCACAATGTCAGAGTCACCATGTGGTCGTAACTGATCTGTTTCAATATCGGTTATTTTAAAAAAAGAAAAATGAAGGAACGGCACAGTGGCTCAGTTGCTAGAGCTGCTGCCTCTTAGTAAGAAAGTCATCGGCTCGAATCCCGACCAGGGGCCTTTCTGGGTGGAGTTTGCATGATCTCTCTGTGCATGTGTGGCTCTCCAGGTACTCTAGTTTCCTCCCACTGACAAAAAACATGCATGTTAGGCTGATCGGTAACAATAAATTGTTCCTAGGTGTGAGTGAGTGAGAGAGAGAATGGTTGTTTGTCTCGTTTGTCTCCGTGTCCCTGTGATGGACTAGAGACCTGTCCAGGGTGTTCCCCACCTCTCACAGAGTGACTGCGGAATATGGACACCAGTGACCCGAAAAGGAGGAAGGCAGATAAAAAGGATGGATGGATGGATGGATGGATGGATGGATGGATGGATGGATGGATG